CATTGTACAGTGGCATTAAGTGCCGTAATGTGCACCTCTGCCTACCTCTTCGGGGATAAAAAGGCGTGATGTTATGTGTGTGTTTGTTGGATTTTCAGTCTGCTTTTGCTCCAAAAATGCAAAATTGATTTCGCCAGATTTTACTATAGGTATAGACAGAGGAAATAGCAATCTTTAGATTCCTCAACTCACTAATTATAAATCTAATTCTTAGAACTCTTAAGAAAAAAAAATTTCTTGCTTCATCTGTGGCATTCTCTTACTTCTATCAATTCCCATACTAGACAATCGTGGCGACATCTAATACCTTACACGTTCATAAGACAAAATGTCAATTTGCGGAGCGAAGTAATTACAATATTACGGCACGGGAACGATCCGATATCGCATGTAATAGGATTAATCTTAGCAGTGAATTAAGCATTGTAGCTGATTCAGCATACATAGATATCTAATGACTAGTGTATTGCCGATGACTTTGGTTGTGTGTTTTGATCCTACGCGTGTAACAGGATGGAATTGGAAAATGCCAATAAAGGCTGGATGAGAAAATCTAACCTTTAAATAAATAACCCTTGTATATAGGTATGTATAAATAACTTCAGAAACGACTCCAACGATTTCTTGAAATTTTTATGTAATGGTTTTTGGGGCGATAAATCGATCTAGCTAGGTTTCATTTTCAGAAAATGTTGTTTACTAAAATCAATCATCATCCAGTACGTATCATCACCCAGTACACATCAACCAAAACAGTAGTTGCATTGATAATGATTAAAAAAAATAGTAACAGATCGGCGTACTTATAGAGTGTGCTTGTTGTACTGTGGTAAAAGAGAAGATCATACACTATTCGAACATTTTTGGAAAGATGTCACCTATGATCACAAATATCGCTACGGATGGCGTAGTATTGGCTGTAATTTGTACCGTGGCATTAAACTGTCAAACACCGCGAGGACACCGATGACCGCAACCTATTGTTCTTTAATTGTGTCTATAATGACGGTACCTACTCAACGAGTTAATGTGAATTAATTATTGTACTTACAAATACATGGTAAAATAATACCAAAAAATTCAAAGCACTTCATCACATCAAAATCCCTAACATCGAAAACAACACATACAAACAGCAAACATGTAAAATAAGTTCGCGTCTCGTCAACAATTTCGTCATCATTCGCAACCCGCCGCCTCCCCGTTTGTCGTGCAAAACTTTGTACGGGAACCAACCCCCTAGCATTTGTTCTCGAGGATTTTACAAAGCGACTGTGATTCACGGAATAATTTGTACATTTTTGGCGCTAAGTTCAAACAACTTGACTTTTGTTCGGGTTATCCGTGTTATATTTTCTTTTGGAGTTGTTTCTATGTTATTGATTTATTATACACGAGTATGCAATTACTGAGTTTGTACAGAGGCCGTCGTAACGAGTTCGCGTTCGGCGCTATGATTGGTTGGTTTATTGGCGCCGGCCAATCAGAGTGCCGAACGCGTACTCGTTTCGAATACTTTAAACGTAAAATAAACTTGTACTAAGGCCTCTGCTTTTAGAAGCAAAACATAGTACTTAAATAGACAGTCACATGGTATACATTTTTAGGTTAATGCTTCCTTTGTAGAAGAGAGTATAAGAGCCTAATCTTCGCTCAAAAGATCGCGGTTAAATGGTTCAGGCCTGTGAGAGAACACTGCTTCCTAATATCAGTCGAGTGTATATTCACTTTGTGATCTGCTATGTCATCTGCAGGTGTACCGTTAGGTACTCTACCAACCCATAAAAAATGAGGATTACTCCCAGTTTCATCGACTGCACGAGATTTTTTGGCAATCCAACCTTCCTTGCTTTTGCTTTTCTTTTGTAAGATTTCTTTGCGGATATAAAAAATCGTCTTTTTATTATAGTCTTAAGAATAATCTACCGCCATCCTTATTCAGGCTAAAACTAGACTGGTTATAAAAAGTATTTTTTGTTACAGGGGTGTGCCTGATCGAGCACGCGAGTGGCAGAACCACAGACAAAGTAACAAACCACAACAACTCGTACACCAGCTACGGACTATTCCAGGTAAGACGACAGTAATATATATTCAATATAAGTTTCTACTAGTATCTGAAGGCAGAAGGGTGCTTTATGCAAAACAAAAGAGTCTGCATGAACGCCATATACTCAAACACAGGCCGACGGATTTTTATAAGGTTTAGGTGGTTGATTTTTATTTTTGTATAAGCCGGTAAAAGAGCATATGGATCACCTGATCGTAAGCAATCGGCGCCGCCCATGGCCACTTGAAATACCAAAGCCGTTACAAGTGCGTTACTGGCCTTTTGGCAATTGGGAATTTGAGGATTGTGGGGAATTCGGGGATTGGGGACACTTAGAGGTAATTGGGCTTTAGGTAACCTCACTCACACGACGAAACACAATGCAAGCGTTGCTTCACGCTGGTTTTCTGTGAGGCCGTGGTATCTATCTATCGTGGTATAACTCCGGTCTAGCCGGCCCATTCATGCCGAAGTATGGCTCTCCCACAATTAAGCCTACACGGGCAAAACTTTTATCGGAAAAATCAGGAGAAAAGACATGTGGACGATGTATTAGTACTTGGCAATTTACTTAAAATTTTAGACGATACCACAAGGGTAAGCTAATCTTCAATAAACCACATAAGATCCGGAGATTTAAAGGCATTTCCCTTCATTATCAGCTTTTAACAAGATAATACATCAATATTAAATCGGTTACTGAATTAACGACACGGCTTTTAATCCCTGAAGAAGGAAGATCCCATAGAGGAAGGTAGATGTGCACATATGTATTTATCTAATGCAACGTCCACTTTTCATCAGTAATGTGTTAAGTCCCGTGCAATAGAGGGTTATTCTATTCCCATACATTGATTGAGTACGATGGGGACTACTTTTTATGTTCAACAGGTGGCGCTAGTGTGATTTTCTCGTTTTAGCTAGTTTAACTAAAAATCGCTGGTTGCTCACGTAAATATATAAAGAAAAGCTCTTCTAGTTTCGAGCCACAGAAGGGCTCCTCATGAGCAGCATGCGCGGTCGCAGGGACATCGCGCAGCCTACTGGCTAGTAGTAGTGTCATAGTTATCTTTGACAGAGTAAACGTTATATGTAGCACTAACTTTGGGCTGAACCTGGAATCGAACCCACTACCCACGCCACTGGTGAACGTACCATGCGTCTTAACGTCGTCGGAGTTGGAAGCAAACGCGCGGAGGAGTCCAGCAGGGGCCGCGATTTTTTTTTAATGGATGAAAAACATCATTGGAAGATTTTCAATTTATATATCTACTATATATCTACTATATAAAAATAAGTCGGGTTTTCCTTCCTGACGCTATAACTCCAGAACGCACGGACCGATTTCCACGGTTTTGCATTCGTTGGAAAGATCTCGGGCACTGTAAGGTTTAAAGCAAAGAAAACGAAGCCATCTGGTGGCGAAACGGAGTTCGCCGGGTTTGCTAGTTAAACTATAATAATACTTTAATTTCTAATCAACTTAATGTTAGTTGATTATGAAATATAACTTCCATGTTTAGATTTAAGTGTATTAATCATAATTTTCCGCTGGTTTCTTATGATTTCGTGTAAAAGTTTGAAAGACTTTTAAACTTCCTACTTTTTATAAAGTCGGTAAAAATTAATTATACTGCTACTTACTAGGCTTTGAAGTTCCTAATCCTTATAAAATGTTGTCTCGCAGCAATATCGACATACCTGAAACAAAAAACAACATTATAAGAACTGAGAGCACCTACTAATAGATATTTGAATATTACTAATTTATAAAATTAAACTAAACTGCCTCATTGGTCGAGCGGTCGCAAGGGCAAGGGGTCTAGAGTTCAATTCCCGGGTCGGGCAAAGTATTACTTTTCAGTAGAAGCACGGAGTCTGGAAATGTTCCCGGTATATGATAATAGGACTCGTAAGATAAATAATGAAAAGTTGGTGTTACATTGTGCAGTGGCATTAAGTGCCGTAATATAATACGGATAAAAGGCGTGATGTTATGTTATGTTTGTGTGTATATAAAATTACACAGGTATACCTAATAGAATAAACAGGTACAGCATGAAATCAAGGTCTAAGTTATATTACAAAAAAATGTACTTTTGATAACGAAAAACACTCAGTCCACAAAACATATTTATATAATAATATTCTGTGACACAGAGTATAATAAACTTATCTGTCTCGAAACTCCACAAACAAAAAAAAACATTTAAATAACAAAAACAAAACACAGTCGCCAATCACTCCATACTCCATACAAACCTGAAACGTTCATTCATAAATCTGCATTACAATTAGTAGCCACACATATTTGCATGATCAGACCCACTAATCAGTCTAGCTGGACATTATTCCCACATTATGCCACTCTGATAGTCCAAAACTTGAATTTGAAATGCGTAGATCAGTTCCCGTGATTTTGGAATAGTAATGACGATGGACTGGAATTAGTTGGATGGCTGTGATAGTAGTTAACTGATGTTTTAGTGTAGTTTTCATTAGTGGGATATCTAATATCACGGTACCCGAAAGGGTAGATGAAGGAACATGTTATTGAAAGTAGGGTCATGGTGGCCCCGAGGCCTCACATCGTGAGGAAACCAGGGCTTATAAAACCTCAGGTTTCCTCACGATGATAATCAGAAATTATTTTCTAATTATAAGTTTGAAATCGCCAACCGGTATTGAGCAAGCGTGGTGATTAATACTCAAACATTCTCCGTGTGAGAAGAGGCCTTTGGTTAGAACTAATATCAAAAGATGCATTCGCTACATACTCTATTACAGTTCTTGAAAGTACATACAATGTCTATTAAAATTTCATAGCGGCTCGGTCCTTATTTTGCAGTCTCAGATCGTAACATATATTTTATTATACAAACGTGTTACTGCCTCTCTGGGGCGACAGAACGGTACTAACCATTATTTATTTATTATTGATAACGTAAAAATAATATACACTGAAAGGGGTAGGCAGTGCTGCAATTTTCATCGTTGAGAGTCGCGTGACAGGGGAAGAAGCTGATAGCATAAACTGAACTTGATTTCAAATTGTCTTTGACCACTCAAAAGACAAATGACAGTCTATTTGAAAAGAAACCACTTAGCATAGCTTATACATACGCAGACTTCTGACTTCTGAGCCTGTAAAAACCCTAATGAGGATTTCTAAGAAATAGATTCTTGATATTATAGAAAAACCTTCCATGCCTAGAGAATTAAACCAATTATAAACGTAATGTTTTCAGCTTCTAACCCTACAAAAATGTCGCGGAGAACCTAACGGGTAACCGGGGCTCCGGCTCGACGTGCAGGAGAAGGAACGGGGTGGTTTTTAGTCAGTAAGAGTCTGGCACTCCCTCCCGCCTCACCCAGGCGGGAGCAGTCATTCGATGATTTACCCCCCTTAAAAAAAACCCTACAAAAATGCCAGGGTAGTTACTGAAGTTAATTTTACCCCACTAAATGAATAAAATGACGTTGACGGACGGCTACTAGTGATTGCACCACAGTTCCTTCAAATATAGGTCAAATCTGCACCTATATTCAATTCATATAAAGTATATTACATACACTAGGACATTGAGCAAAAGGAGTACACAGTCTCTTGAAACAACAACTGAGGCACCTGTGCCTTTAGCCAAACGCCACTATAGCGTTTGTCTACAGACAGAGTAGAAAACTAAATATATGGGGATGATACTGACAAGTATCAAAATTTTCGTCAATTCTATATAATTTTGATTTTCTACTCTACAAGTAGACAAGTGCTAAATGGCATTTGGCTACAGCTGCAAGTTACTAAAGACTTACACGCAGAACACACACATTGATTTTGTGTGTAGTCACACGCACACATAAATAACCTACTAACATTTTGGTGCTTCAGTCATTGCTAAATGACATTACTACCGCCTTATATGAATTAACTATAGTTGCATATTTGGCCTATATTCGAAGGAACTGTGGTGCAATCACTAGTAGGCCGGATGAGGTCCATTACAGATAGATCTCGTGTTAATTTAGACTCAAGTGGGATAGTTTGGTCACGTGTACTCAATAGTGATGTGCTGTTATCGATATTTTGGATGGAACTTCTTACTAGTGATGTTTAACGCGTGGTATACCGGAGCGCAGACCTACGATATACGACATATTATGTCACCCGTCAACAATGATTGGAACGAGACGGTTCGTGTATGTGTACCTACCCGCAAACAAGAAATTAAATAATGTCGTAGAAATTCGTTTCCCGTCATTATTATTTTTTTTTATTGCATAAGCCGGTAAACGAGCCGACGGATCACCTGATGGTAAGCAATCGGCGTCGCCCATGGACACCTGGAACACCAGAGGCGTTACAAGTGCGTCACCGGCCTTTTGAGGATTAGCAGTTTGAAGATCGTTGGGGATTCAGGAATTGGGGAGATTGGGAAAGGGGAGGGTAGTTGGGCCTCCGGTAACCTCGCTCACACGACGAAACACAACGCAAGCGTTGCTTCACGTCGGTTTTCTGTGAGGCCGTGGCATCACTCCGGTCGAGCCGGCCCATTCGTGCCGAAGCATGGCTCTCCCACACTTTATTATATTTTTTAAGTCTAATTATTTATAATTATTTTTATTTAACAATGTTGTACGTCCCATCAAATTTGCATGTGATAAGGGAGATACATACACGACGATATTTTTGTGTTTTTTTCCGAAATACTAAAAAAACACAACAAAGTATGAGGTACCAACAAATAAATACGACTAACTGCAATGCATTTTCCATATAAGCTTTGTTAACACAATAAGTATGTCTTCCAATATTAAGCCAAAGAAATAAAATTTTCCTAACATTGTAAAAATTAATACTGCCACTAACTCGCGGCATCGTATCGTAAGGCATAAATATTTTTATTTTACTAACCAACGTAAAATTGTTTGCTTCACCCAAATTGCACATAAGATACGAGTATGAGATGCAAACAGACAAACATTGAAAAATTATATTTTTGAGGGAGCAAATCATCCAATGGA